CTATCAACCTAGGCAGATATTCTCTTTCTAAGATAAAGCAGAAATAATAGGAATTTGAACAGGATTCATGCCATTCAATAAACCAAACCTCAATTGAATATAATCAAATCATAGAATCTGTACTTGGGTTCATACAATCATACCTAACATACAAATCTAGGGTTTTCCATACCCAGATGAATAAGAAAACTACTCCATAGAGAGAGATGGAAAATCTAGCTCAGATGCGGAAACCATACTATGAAGGATGATAATCTGCTTCTGGCGCTCAATCGGATCTTCTCCAAGCTTAACCCGGGCTCCAATGGTGATGAAGATCAAGCTATGGCACTTGGGAACTCTGGTTCATCACTTTCTCTCTCTAGGAATCGCTCTCTCTCTAAAACTCAGAACCCCCTCTCCTTTGGCTCAAATCTGCCTAAAAAGGGCAACCCTGGGCAAAACACGGTCGAGGGCATGGCCGTGCTTTGCTTTTGCCCGCCCGTGCCCTTGCCACGTGTTATAAACACGGCCACATCTTGGGGAAAAAACGGTTGTGCCTAAAGTTGGGCACGGCCGTGTTTTGAGTCACTCCCGCCTGTGTTTTGGGCCAGCTCAGGAAAATCTTGGATCAAGCCTCGGTAGTAAAAACATGGTCGTGCTTTGGTTTAGGCCAGCCCGTGCTTTGGCCCCATCTCGACCGAATGACTTCCAAATGCCCTGAAACTCGTGCTTAGCCTTTCTTTCGACGTCTGGGACCTGAAATATGACAAAGTAGCACAACCCGGCGTAAAATAGGCCAAAAATACACGACTACGCCTCGCAAACGGAAAGAAATAGGGGTGCAAACATGTGCAATTACATCGTTATCAAATTCCCCCACACTTAACCGTTTGCTTGTCCCCAAGAAAAACAAGTCAGACACAAGGTAAGCTCAAAACGTTTCAATCAAGCAGGCTTTAGGGCATATCATATCGGCACAAAACACGTGAATCATACTGGCTTTTGATCATTAACACATGGACAACCTCAACGACAACCTACACAACCATCACAGATGACATTCGAATGCAGCAAAGTCGAGCAAAGGAAGAGTCCCCTTATGTTCACCAACCAACATAGACTTGACTCAACCACTTATTCAAGACAGTCACTTCATGCATAAAGCTCAAGATATCAGAATTAAGACCGAGCAATCTAGGTCCTCACCGGGGTAAAGAGTATAGATAATATGAGAAAATGAACCGCTCACTCTCGACCAGTGGGGTCAGGACAATTTGATGCGAAAAATGCGCATGTTTATTCTCTCAATCCCTAACGTCTCTTCACCATGAAGGCAACCTCTAAATGCTAGAGTTCACATATGGGGTGTCACCACTAAGTAATCTGGAGGTCTTAGACACAGGTTCAGATGATTGGCTAGGGTCTTGGACATGAGGAAAAGGCCTTTTAGGTGGTGGAGTATTCATAGCACAAGGTTCCGCAATTCCAAACCCAACACACTCACAGTCAATCAAACCACTTTTTCTTTCTGTCATTCTGCATTACTCACATTCTTTAGAGCACAAGAGCGAAGGAGTGCACCTAAAACTTAGTATTTTCAGCCACACTGCTAAGAAACACTACTCACTGGGCGCTATTCAGATTTTGTGGTGGTGGCTCTCTTTTGCTTTCATTCACTTATTTTTTTCTTTTTTTCTTTTTCGTTCTTTGAGAGAACCACCACCTATGCACATTTGCAAACACATGCCCTTTTTATTCTTTCCATAACTACCTCCAACTCTCACATTATATTTAGCAGAAACATCAGAGAACATGGAGAAACCACTCTGTGGAACCTTCTACAAGATGCAAGGGGTGAATTTCCATTGTAGACCGAAAGAAAGGATAACACACGGCTCAAAGGCCTGACTAGGGGGTATGACACATCAGGACAGTCAATTTGGTCGTGGCTAATCCTATGCCTCCATCATCTTAGCTAATGATAACGTGAATGCTGCACATCATGGAAGAGGGAACTATCATACAAGAAAGAAACGAGCAGGATCAAGTCTCACATGGCTACCTATATGCTCTATCTCTCATTCTGACTCCCTGAACTATTAATTGAATTTGTTCTCTTTGTGGTTGTTTGATGATTTGGTAAAGTAAAGAAAAAGGAGAAGAACAAGTGCGGGCTCACCATCGTGGGGTATAGGATTTAGCTTCATAAATGTTGTAGACATAATGTATTATTTATGTATTTTTTGTATTTATGTTTTTATGGGCAATGTATTAATTTATTTTAAGAATAAATTCATTAAAACATTATTAGTGAAATTTGAATTGTTATATTATTTGTCACATCGAATTTAAAATTTAAAATTAATCAAAATTATGAAAGTTGAAATAGAATAAAAAAGTATTGGCTCACGAAACAAGTAATGGCTCACGAAGCAAATATTTGTTTCGGCAAGGTTTTCTAGAAACAATTATAATTGTCTCCAAAACTAGAAATATGAACAAAAATATTTCTCTCTAAAACCAAATAAGAAGAGAAAGGATTTGCTTCGACAAGGTTTTCTAGAAACAATTATAATTGTCTCCAAAACTAGAAATAGGAATAAAAATATTTCTCTCTAAAACCAAATAAGAAGAGAAAGGATATGTTTTTAAAGTGGAGTTACAATCAATAAGATATGATTCGGAATCCTTAATTAGAAGGAAATATTATTTGCATCTATATTTGATTCTAAAGAGAATTAGAGACAGAGACGTCCGATGCAAATAATTTATTTGCTTCAAAAGACATACAGAAACAAATAATTGACTTTTAGACACAAATAACCTCTGACTCTAAAGCCAGATTTTCTTGTAGTGTCTTTTTCTATTATTCTAATAATTGTACCCATTCAAACTATATATAGATTTAAGCCATAAATACTAAATGTAAGATAGGTTAATGGTAAAGCTGCCGCAACAGTGAAGGATTGGGAGTTGCAGGTCCCATGTTCGAATCCAAGCGAGACCTGTTGGTGTTCCCGGAGGTACAAGGCTACTGTGGGCGAAGCCTCGTTGGCGTCGAATTTGATTGCATCCTTGCAGGTATAGGTGTCAAAACATGACCCGACCCGAGTAACCCGCCCAACCAACCCGATCCGCAACCCGCCCGCAACCCGATTGGACTAAAAGTCAAAGACCCGCAACCCGCCCGACCTGCAATCCGCTTGACCCGCAACCCGCGTAACCCACAACCCGCTTGACCCGAAATCCGCTTGACCCGCAACCCGCTTGGCCCGTAACCCGACTAACCCGAACCCGATTAACCCAACCCGAACCCACCCGATTGGCACGAATAATACTACATAATATATTTTTGTGCATAAATATTATATGTAAATAATATATATAAAGTTTACTTGACTTGCCCTATTATTTTTTCATCTTTCCCACCAAGAACAAAGGTTTACTTTGTGTTGACAAATGACAACTGTCATTAAATTGAATCACATAATAGTCTCACTGTCTCGGTAAATTGAATAACATAATACTTTCTAGTCTCTCTGCCTTTTAGTTGAATCAAATAAACAACAAGTTCAAATTGTAACAAATCAATTACGTGGACTAGTTGGCTTATGTGCTGGTCTATCCCATTCGAGTGACATGGTTCAAAGCCCAGTAGAGACATATTTTTTTAACATGTTTTCGTATGTAAACTTATACATAAAATTCACTTAATGTATAACATAGTTAGTAAAATATGGTACGAGAAAGTTACGTATAAAATACTTACGGGTATTATACTTCGTCTCTTAAGTAATGCTACGTTTAATAGTACGTTAATAGTAATAAATATATAAAACTAATTACTTTTATAAATAAATCAATATGTAAAAATAATAAAGTTAATAATACATAAAATTCACTTAATGTATAGCATAGTTAGTAAAATATGGTACGAGAAAGTTACGTTTAAAATACTTACGGGTATTATACTTCGTCTCTTAGGTAATGTTACGTTTAATAGTACGTTAATAGTTATAAATATATAAAACTAATTACTTTTATAAATAAATCAATATATAAAAATAGTAAAGTTAATAATTCATTTCATTAAATACAGATATTAAACGTTTGGATTCGTAGGACATATGTTCTTCTCAATAACCAACAATTTCATAATACATAACTATAGTTCATGGTTTAAGGTTAGTGCATAGGGTATACGGTAGTGGACTCGTGGTTTAGAGTTTGGAGTCGTAGGACATATGTTCTTCTCAATAACCGAATATAAAATTGACTCAACTTACATTCTTCGCATAACATACGTTGTAGCTTATTCCAACAATTTCATAACATATAACTATAGTATAGGGTATAGCCGTATAGGGTCATGGTTTAGAGTTCATTGTTTGCATGTTTGGGTTATGGAATTATGGTTAAGGGTTGAGGTTAGTTTTAGGGTTAATTACTTAATGTTGTGATTTAGGATAATGTATGGTTGATGGTTAAGGTTAGTTTTAGGTTTCAGATTTAAAATGGTGTTATAGGGTTAGGGTTTAGGGTTAGGGTTTAGGGTTTAGGGTTAGGGTTTCTTCATGGTTATGCTTTGTGCACTACAAGAAAACAGAGGTTTAATGTCGGTTGAGTTGAGTCGGTTCACTTAACCGACACTAAAATTCTATTTTGTGTCGAAGATTTGTGTCGGTTACTTAACCGACACTATTTTCTCCAATTTTGCGTCAGTTAAAATTAAACCGACACAATTTTCAGCATAGTTGAGTCGGTTTTACTTGTAACCGACACAACTATTGTTGGTTTGGGTCGGTTTTGTTATGAACCGACACAATTCCACTTACCGCCCAAATTTTATTAGTGTTTTAAATGACCACCAAAATTTTAGTGGCCAAAATTCCATACCCGCCCAAAAAATTCACCTCAACCATTCTAATTTTCATATGCCGCCCATTCCAATTTCCTTTATTATTTAATCTTTACTATTTTTCCCAGACCCAACATATCACGATCCTCCTCCCATGTGCTCATCTCTCCCCCTCCCCCGCCCTCTCTCTTCTCCAATGAACAAACACAAACCCAGAAACCCTCTTCTCCTCTACTACGAACAAACCCAGCAACCCTCTCGTCATCTCTGATGCTTCCCCTGCCCTCTCCCCTCCTCTCCGGTGCTTCCCCTTCCGCCATCGAGATCTCCTCTTCGTCGAGTAGCCGCAAGCAATCGCCACCGCCTTCAATCTCCAGGAATCGCTCGCCACCTTGGATAACAACCGAAGAAGATCAGCCGCTCGATCTGTCTTTCTCTGAGCTGCAGAGCAATAGGAGAAGATCCACCACTCGATTTGTCTTCCCGGCGCTTGATCTGGGGATTTTTCTTTAACCTCTGCCTGCTGGTTCACCTGCGCTTCCCCAAATCGAAGAAGGCTGGTGTTGATTTCTTGATTTTCTGGATTTAGAGGATGAAAAGAGGCCATTTGCTTAACCAAAGCATTTATTTTGACTGGCAGATGCAAGCAATAGCTACCACTCACTGAATTCAAGGTAACATTTGATTGATCATGTCCTTGTACGATACTCTTTATAAATTTTATTCTGCTGGAATTGCAAGGATGCCTCTTTAAACTGTATGTCATTAATATTTGATGTTCTCCATTATGCTGATCTTCAGATGGTTTGTACTTCTATACTTGCTTGTTGGCAAATCTGCAATAGGCTTCATTAATCTTTGAGCTTATTTGAGAGGACGAAAGGCAGAGGAAGAGATAACAGGAAAGGGTCTGGTATGTGTTTGGGCATCAAACCTTACCTTCCATACTGTGAAATCGTCACTGAAGCAATAATGCTAAAGTGCCTAATGGTAATGGCTTCACAATTTGTATAAACCTTCTGAAATTATCGTGAAGATAACTTGTCATGTATCATTAAAAAGGTTGTGTACAATTTTGATCAGGTGGATGTCATGTTAGCAGTAGCTTCTATACTGTGATTTCTTCATCCCTCAATTATTGTTGGTAGACAATGGTGACCTTATGGGTCTCGTATTTATTTTCTACTCATGGATATCAGAAAGTTCATTCTATTCTACATCAATTAGTGGGAGCTCTTCTTGTAATGGCTTCGTTTGGAAATATTTTCTTCATTAGTACACCTGAAATGTAGGGTATGATGTTAATACTTGGACCCAACTGATGTGGTATGATGTTAATTGTTTATAGTGTGGTGTACTCATGTAGAGGAAATGGCAAGCATCAACTGCAGCACAAGAACAACCAGCAGCAGAAGCAGTAGGTTAATGTGTGTTCTAATTGAACTTTGAGTGTTCAGTATATGTCCTAACTTAACCTTGTTGTGATCCAGGTTCAGCTTGGAGACTGGTGCTGAAATTTTTAGTCTTTTCTGCAATTCCTCATATGGCAGTAGAGGCAAGTCTCTGTCCTGTACTACTAAGTTGTTGCAATTGATTAATTATATAAGGTAGGTAGGTGGTTGTACAAGAAATTGCAGGAATCACTGACGCCATACATTTATTGCTTGGTTTGGATAGTTGTAACTGGTGAGGATGAAGTTTGAGGGCTGTGAGCTTCTATGAAGTTGTTTTTAGTTGAGCTATTATGATGTGCTTCTACTCTGTTTTGTCATGACTTCTTGGGACTGGACAAGTGTTCGTAGTGCTTTGTATATGGTTTATTTATTTCTGATTGCTTCAGCAGTTGAGTTTGCTAGAGAGAGTAGTAACTTTGAACTCCTTTGAATTATGTTTCTAGGGTGGGAAAGGCTTGAAGGTCTTAAATGCTTTGAGCGGACAATTGGAAGCAAAATTATGGAATCGATGAAGAAAAGGCAAATCTGGAAACTATAGTTACAGTACAGAGCAAGAAAATGTTATCTCATAGATCTGTAATTGGTTCTCATTAGGTTGAGTTTCATCATACAACAATGAGTTTTTTTTAAATTGTATGTTATTTACCACTGATCCATAAATGATATTTGTATCGGTTGTATTCATATTAATGTTAGAATCTCATGTTACAAAGAGTTCGCGTTTTCAATTTGCATGTTAATATATGTATAGTGGATATATGACTAGCGGTTTATAATTAGCTACGCGAAAATGCAGTGCTAGATATTAGTATTTAATTACAGTTACAGGAAGTTAATAATTTGTAGATGAAGTTGAGTAAGGAATATTAAAAGCGTGTGTTACCATATAAAATAAGAATGAAAGTTACATTATACTAGAAAGCACGAATAAGCACGAATGTGAACAAAATAAAAGCATGACATAGACATGATCAGGCACGACACGGCTTGAATCGTGCTTGGGCCCGGGCCTAATAAAACTGTTAAATGGGCTTGTATGGCACGACACGAAATTTAATGGGTTGTGCCTAGCACGGCACGAATCTAGTCATTCATTTGTTTAATAATGTACATTCATGTTTTATTCATTGCAATATGGTGATCGGTGAGTTTGTTTTAAATTAGTGTAATAACTCCCTCAAAAAAAAAAATAATGTAATAACTCATTATAAAAAAAACTCGATGGTGTGGACCGAACAACCCGCAACCCGACCTGTTGTAACCCCCAATCCGATCAACCCGAACCCGATTGATCCACAACCCGATCAACCCAAACCCGATCAACCCGCAACCCGATCAACCCGAACCCGCTTGACCCGCAACCCGTTTGACTCGCGACCCGACTGAACCCGACCCGAACTCGCCCGATTGACACCTATATTTGCACGTGCAGATTTAGTAAAACCCGTTGTGATAAAGTGACACTTGTGGTTGAGGTTACTGAGTAATAAAAAAAGATTTAAGCCCATAAATTATAGTAATAAACGAACGGGAGAAAAAGCTTATATTGGTTCAAAATAATTGAACAAATGCCGACATCCTATTGGTACCATACGATCTGGGCATCTCGACCGCAACTTGATGATTATCCAAATTCTCCGTCGAAATATCTCTTCGGGGAAATTGTGCGCATCCACTTATTTTTCGTTTTTTATGCCTTTTTCTTTTCTTTCTTTCTAAAGCCATTAATTTTTCATGTCGGCAAACGCACATTGGAGTTTCCTGGTCCCATTATTAATAATTTAAATAGTTGTTGTTATTATTATATCTGTTAAAGGAGGAACAAGACAAGTCATGAGGTTTCCCTCTGCACCACGAGCAGATCTTTAGCCATCTTGTGGGCCTTACTTGTGGCTACTAGCGTTCCAACTTCAACTACACTACCTCTCCATCCTGTGAGTAGAATTTGGGTTTACTTTTTCAGATCTTTTTGCCTTAAAATCCAAGAGCATATAAATTATTGTTATAGAATACTCTTTTTAAATTGTTAAAGAACCGCTAACAAAGTGATGTCTCTTCCAAAAACGAAAGAGTATTCATGTATTATGGTTTATTTAAGAGACTAAAATTCATACCAAGTATTTAAGCAAAATAAAATTGTTAACAAATACTTTAAATGTGAATTCATGTGTTATTTAAGAAAATACGGACTATAATTAGTATGCTAAACTTCCAATTGAGTTTATACTTGGGTTTATAACACAAACAAGAGCTTTCTGCAGTTGGAATGTGTTCGTTCTTCTTTGACATGGTGATGGGTACGAATATATTAACCAGAATTTTTTGGCAATTTTAGCATTTATTGGACTGTCGGGTTTTAATAACAGTTGTGAACTAACTTCATGAGAAAAGTTGTTTGCTAGTTTAGAAAAGTATCAAGAGAGGAGAGGAGAGGAGAAGCATGTCCAAAGGTAGTGAAAGTGTCGCTTAATTATGTGCCACACATGTATATACAAAATAGAGCGGCAAATGAGCCGAATCGAGCCGAGTTTTAATCCAGTTTGAGCTCAGTCGTTAATAAACGATTCTAGCATGAGTTCAGCTTATTTACTAAAATCTTAGTTTTTTTTTACTCGAGCTTGGCTTGTTAATGAGCTCATGAGCTCTACTCGAATTCGGATCATCAAATAGCTCGTGAGATAGGCTCTAGCTCACGTATCATATCAATTAGCTCATAAATTTTAATTTTTCAAATGATGTTATTTGATAATAATTAGTTTTTAAACAATTTATGATACAATCTCATTTTAAAAATATAAATGAGACAGATTTGGTCATGTCTTCATACTCTTAAATAGTATATATGCCGATATATGTAATCTAACAAATGTATTAATTATCGATTTGCCCTTAAGTTTCTAGTAGAGGAGGTTCGCTTACCATACTATCGAGCTAGTTCATAGCTCAAAACGAGCTAACTCACGATTTAGCTTAACAAGTCACCGAGTCGAGTTGGATTGCGAGCTTTACAAGTTGAACAAGGTGTAGGTTGAGTTCGGCTCATTAGTAAACAAATCGAGTCTCGAACGAGCAATTTTCGAACCGAACGCCGACCCGCTCGTGAGTAGATAAGCTCATTTGCAGCTCTAACAGTAAATAATAAATACTAGGTCACTTTTATTTTTGCACTTTTACTTTTATTTTTTCTTTTAAAACCTGTTTTAAAGCAGAAGTACACATAATATACGTGAACGAGATTAAAGCATAAGTGTCGGCCAAATACGTAACGACGAAAGGGGTGAAAATGAAAATAAAAATCTTCCCAACTGCACCCTACCATTTACTTTTATATATAGCAGTAGCACCAGTATCCCATCACCTTACTACCAAAACAAATATCTCTCCCTTCTCCCTCTCATTTCCCAGTCGTTTAATTTGCAAGCATCATGGCCGGTCTTATTTCCTCCGTAAAAAAGGCCGTCGGCATGGAAGAAAAGCCCGCGGCGGCGACCAGCACCGAACAGATTGTGACGGGCACCAAGGGGCTTGCAGCGTCGGCTCAGGCCTCCGTCACCGGCGCCGCCGAGACTGTGGTTGGCACCACCACCACGTACGTTAACAAGGCCCAGGACTATGTCCACAACGCCACTGCCAAGCCGGCAGATAAGTGAGAGCCCGGCGGCCCACGCACGTATCTGGTTATCGTTTAATGTCGCTACGTACGTGCGTAGACATGTCTCGTCTTCACAAGTAGTGTTATATATGTTTATGTTCTTATTATTTTTTTTTTCCAACGTTATGTTTCGTTGTATGAATAATTACCTACTTGTGTGTGTGTTTTTAATTATTTCCGTTGGCAGTAAAAGTAGTTAATAACTGTTGGGTCAGATTGTGATCAGTTAAAATCTGTGGAACGTACGTAAAACGGTAAAAGTGTATGTATATGGCAAAGGATCATAGAAGGACAAATTATGAATACTCAAGTAGTGGTGGTTCATAATCGAAATGGTGACTTATAATTGACATCGGTCAAGAAGCTGGTTCGCCGTCGATGAAATCTAACTGTGGCGGCAAAGATGCAAGCTTCTGTACTGCTATGGTATGGACGCCAATACAATTAATTAGTTAAAAATTGCTAATAAGTTTAAACCAAGAAAATATGCTCCAAATTTTAATTTTAATAGTATATGAGAGAAAACCAGACTTCATAAACTCAAGGATTGTGGTTAAACAAAATTATGTATGTACCTGAACACAGATCATACATAACTTAGATAGCCAGCTACTTAGAGAGTTAGAGTACTGGTTAACAATTTTCGGTATTAATGGTGTTCATAATTAACATTCTTCCAACAAATTGAATTAATATAATTTAATTAATTTATAATATGGTACTAGAGTTGGTTTGACCATGTGAATGTGTGTTCGAATTAACAAATTCAGGAGAATAATACACTTAGGGGTCATTTGGATATGGAGATTTGGATATTGAGAAATTTGGGTCCAAATCCATCAACTAAAAACTTTGGAAATTTATAAGTGAAATTTAAACAAAATCACTCGTTTGTTCATAAATATGAAATTTATGTCCAAATTATCGAATGACAATGTTTCCCTCACCTTCTTCCCTTCGACCAATTCCCTCGTTTTCTTTGGATCATCCCTTTCGTTCAACCCTTCCGTTGCAGCCAACTGCATCCCATATTCATTAATGAGGCTCGCTTTGGAATAAAATAAGTAAGAATGAAAGATTTTAAAATAGAAAAGGGAATCAACTATTTCAAAAATCTGTTGAAACTAGTCAACGACTTCACGGTTGGCAGCTAAGGAGGAAAGTAAACAATAATGAATCAATGGAGTAAAAATGGAAAGAATTACAAATCACGGGTACTCGATGATCAAGCAAATCAAGACCAACAAGGAAAGCAAGAGACTCGACGAGAGTGTAATCTAGGGGAGCAGATCCGGTGAGTAACCTTGTGGTGAGTAACTATGAGTAACCCGTTCACATCAGCATGACATTAGCATCCTTTCTCTCCTGGAAAACCTTTAATTTTCCCCTCTTTAATCTTTGACAGACGATTTCTCACTCATTTTAAGTCGAAATTTAATTTTTTTTGCACAGTTAGATCAGATTAATTGTGGTCTTCAAAATGATATCCACTTTAATATATTTTTCGAACAAAAAAATTGAGCCATTTTTTACCAGTCTATACCATATGGTATTGACTGGTATTGAAATAAAAGCATACCTATGGTTTGAAAAAAGTACCATGGTGGTATGAACAAACCAAGACTGTAGGATGGTTGAATACATGATAGTAGAAATATATTAATCGTCATTTACGACTTTTAACATTGTATACCACAAGATACCACCCCGTACCAGGGTGGTATTGTATGGTATTGTGTGGTATATTTTGGTCCTGTAATTTGTTCACCCATAAATTTGTAGATCCAATAGATCATGATGAACTCGTCCCTTCTGTGCAAACGTTTTCAAAAACGAATTAAAAACGAAGAAGATACCATACAATACCACCCCGTACCAGGGTGGTATTGTATAGTATTGTGTGGTATTTTTTGGTCCTGTAATTTGTTCACCCAAAAATTTGTAGATCCAATAGATCATGATGAACTCGTACTTTCTGTGCAAACGTTTTCAAAAACGAATTAAAAATGACGAAAATACCATATGGTATGCAGTTGGTACCGAGAAGCCATAATTTTTTTTTCTAAAAAAATATTGAAAATTGATCTCATTTTGTAGAGCACGATGAACTCGTTCCACCTGTGCAAAACGAAAAAGATATGAGCCGATTAAGAAAGCTAGAGAAAATAAAAATGATCTTTAATTATCCATCCTTAGATCTGGATTTTCTAAATGAAGGGTCCAGATTTGATTATTGATGGGTGCATAACCCATCTTGAGCCGTAATCTAGGGTAGTAGACTAGTAGAAAAGGACATTTTTAGAGGGAATGGATCAGGTCAGTAACCTTATGATGAGTAACCATGAGTAACCCGTCCACATCAGCATGACATCAGCATCCTCTCTCTCTGGAAAGCCTTTAATTTTCCCCTTTTTAATCTTTGACGGACGATTTCTCACTCATTTTAAGTAGAAATTTTTTTTTTTTTTGCACAGTTAGATCAGATTAATTGTGCTCTTCAAAATGATATCCACTTTAATATATTTTTCGAACAAAAAAATTGAGTCATTTTTTACGAGTCTATACCATATGGTATTAACTGGTATTGAAATAAAAGCATACTTATGGTTTGAAAAACGTATCATGGTGGTATGAACAAACCAAGACTGTAGGATGGTTGAATACATGATAGTAGAAGTATATTAATTGTCATTTACGACTTTTAACATTGTATACCACACAATACCACCCCGTACCAGGGTGGTATTGTATGGTATTGTGTGGTATTTTTTGGTCCTGTAATTTGTTCACCCAGAAATTTGTAGATCCAATAGATCATGATGAACTCATCCCTTCTGTGCAAACGTTTTTAAAAACGAATTAAAAACAAAGAAGATACCATACAATACCACCCCGTACCAGGGTGGTATTGTATGGTATTGTGTGGTATTTTTTGATCATGTAATTTGTTCACCCAGAAATTTGTAAATCCAATAGATCATGATGAACTCGTCCCTTCTGTGCAAACTTTTTCAAAAACGAAGAAGATACCATATGGTATGCAGTTGGTACCGAGAGGCCATAATTTTTTTTTTCTCAAAAAATATTGAAAATTGATCTCATTTTGTAGAGCACGATGAACTCGTTCCATCTGTGCAAAAAAAAATTAAAATCCGAGTTAAAACGAAAAAGATATGAGTCAATTAAGAAAGCTAGAAAAAATAACAATGGTCTTTAATTCTCCTTCCTTCGGTCTGAATTTTCTAAATAAAGGGTCCATATTTGGTTATTGATGGGTGCATAACCATGGGTTATGCACCCTATCTTGAGCCTTTTTAGAGAGATCAAAAGAACCGAGAGAGCAAAACAATTTTGCTAGTGTATTTTGATAAGAAAAGGTGTCTTGACGAATTCAGGGAGAATTCGGTTTAAGAAAAGAGTGTTGGGGAAACACTATAGCTGGATAGCTGGGTTGGGTTTGATAGATTAACATTGGGAATTGTCTATTAGAAGGTTCATATAAAAACATACATAGTGGATCGTCGTAAGTCACATCACCGTGATCTTCCGACCGTGGAGTAATGGTATTGCATTTGCATATTGGAAACCACGTAAAAAATATTGTGTGTCTTTTTATTGTGCCTTTACTTTTGTCCCTATTATATTGCTCTGTTTTTATGAACGGTGTGCATGAGACTATTTTAGCCGGGGAGCTTGATTAGGAAGAAAAAGAATGTTGATTACCAAGCAAATCCAGGCCCAAGGAAAGTAGCAGACTCCAACGGGCAGAAAGAATGAGAAAATAAAAGTGTAATCTAGAGTAGTAGAAAAGGACACTTTTAGAGAGATCGAAAGAATCGAGAGAGCAAAGAAGTTGGGTAGTGTGTTTTGTTAAGAAGAGGTGTCATGAGGAATTCGAGGAGAATTCGAGTTAAGAAAAGAGTGTTAGGAAAATACTGTAGCTGGATAATTGGGTCGCGTTTGATAGATCACCATTGAGAATCATCTTTGTAGAAGCTTCATATACAAACATAAATAGTGGATCGTTGTAAGTCGCAACACCATGATCTTTCGACCCCGGAGTACGTAGTAATGGTATTGCATATTGCATACTGGAAACCACGTAAAAAATATGGTGTGTCTTTTTATTGTGACTTTACTTTTGTCCCTATTATATTGCTCTGTTTTTATGAACGGTGTGCATGAGACTGTGTTAGCCGGAGAGCTTGAGAAGGAAGAAGAAGAATGTTGATTACCAAGCAAATCCAGGCCCAAGGAAAGTAGCAGACTCCAACGGGCAGCAAGAATGAGAGAATAAAAGTGTAATCTAGGGTAGTTGAAAAGAACACTTTTGGAGAGATCGAAAGAATCGAGAGAGCAAAGAAGTTAGGTAGTGTGTTGTTATAAGAAAAGGTGTCTTGAGGAATTCGAGGAGAATTCGAGTTAAGAAAAGAGTGTTAGGGAAATATTTTAGCTGGATAACTGGGTCGGGTTTGATAGATCACCATTGAGAATCATCTTTGTAGAAGCTTCATATACAAACATATATGGTGGATCATCGTAAGTCACAACACTGTCATCTTCCAACCGCGGAGTGGCCGGTATTGCATATTGCATATTGCAAACCACGTAAAAAAATATCGTGTCTTTTTATTGTGCCTTTACTTTCGTCCTTATTATATTGCTCTGTTTTTATGAACGGTGTGCATGAGACTATGTTAGCCGGAGAGCTTGAGAAGTAAGAAGAAGAATGTTGATTACAAAGACACTGTGTTTGAACAAAACACTGATCTGCAGTCTTTCAACGATTTGGAGTTGATCAGTTAGCATTTGTGTTTAAAGCTCATTTCTAGTTTCTTACTTGCTTACTTCTTGTGGGCTTAAGTCTGGTTGAGCCCATTGGTGAAACAAGTCACAAATATGTAACTCTTAGGCTCGTTTGGATGGGTTAATTGTCAATGTGGCATTTGTAGAGTCAAATAACTCATTTATTATATATGTGGTATTTCAGTGTTATTTCAGTGGTAATTGAAATAAAGTAGCTCGTTTGGTTGAACCATGCAAATGTGGTATTTGACGTGTGGTATTTGTTAAAAGCAGAGTAGTAAAACGAGTTATTTCGAAATAACACATGGGTATGAGTTATTTCAAATAACTCGTTTTAAGTTATTTGTAAATAACTCACTGTCCAAATAACTCATTTCAATAAAACATTGCCAAACGAATTATTTGTGTCCAAATAACTCATAATGAGTTATTTGAACCCAAATAACTCACAAATAACTCGTACAAATACTCCATCCAAGCGAACTCTAGTGAATTCCACACAAAGTCGATCAAAAGTGTCTTCTATCTTGTATGTTAGTTTTTCCCCCTTCGTGTTCTAAGGATTTCAAGTGTTCTAGTTTCAGTTGCTCTACGGAACATAAAAAATGAAAAATAAGAAAGAAAGAACCTCGCGCTCAATTCAAGCAACAAAATCTGAAGTTGATTGTTTTTCATATCACTCATACCCAAAATCTGTCATTCTAGTCACTCAAAAAAAAAAAAAAAAAGAACAAACTCTCGATTTGACAAAATCCATCGCCAATGTATTTTAAAATAGGAGAGAAAAACAGTCCCTCGCCATGAAAGGTTTGGGTAGAAATCCCACGCCAAAATCACTCATTTAACTCATCTTCAAGAACACATTACCATTTTATCACATATCTTTAATCAAGTACGGTAAGCGACAAATCTGTAAAATAGACAAGACAAACGGACAAGCGTTGGCCACGTAACCAAAGGTGCGGAGAAAAATATCTTCCAACTCTGCCCTCGCATTTTATTGTATAAAATAATATAAATCACCAATTCACCATATATATATCCCCATCATCCACCAGAATTCTTCATCAATTGCTAGTAATTCATCTGATATCTCTCCAACAATTTCCCTCTTTTTCTTAGGCCGAGACTATGGACGGTTTATTCTCTTCCCTGACCAAGGCCGTCAGCGGCAAGGAGGAACACGCCCCGGCGGCAGGCGACAGCAGCAAGGACGCGGCGGCCGGCGGACCAGCGCCGTCGAACGCGGAGCTCCTGGCTAGCGCCAAGGTGGTGGCGGAGGCGGCTCAGTCGGCGATGTCGAGCAAATCCGACAGCATAGACAAGGCGAAGGTGGCTGGCGCGGCGGAGGATCTGGTGGAGGCCGCCGGCAAGTACGGGAAGCTGGACGAGAAGGGTTACGGGCAGTACGTGGACAAGGCCGAGGAGTATCTCCGCCAGTACAGCGGTTCCAAGCCTGCCGATGCAGCTGCGGCGGCGGCGGTGGCGGCGGCTCCTCCGGCTGATAAGCCGGCGGAGGAGGGTAAGAAGGAGAAGCCTGCGGAAGGCGGATCTCTTGGTGGGTATGCCAAGATGGCTGAAGGCTTCTTCAAGTGATCAAATATATTATGTATATGCTCGATCGTTGGGAAGCTGAAGTGAAGTTGGTATTTTCTGTGTATCTGTGTTGGTAATTTAGTTGCACTTAACCCTTTGCGTAGGTGTAGAAACCCATCTTACTACTGTGAACTTTGTGTTTGTTTGTGTGTGTTATTGTTTACCATGGAACTTTTATGTTATGTGCTGCTGTGATTGTGTTTCCCATCATATGTTGCCGTTTCTGGTAAATAAAAATTTATGACTAGAACGTGTTTGTTTAATCGTGTTCGGGTTATATTAAAATGTTTCTGAAAAATTGTCGGCAATGACGTTAGTTCGAAAGACAGATTTACTGACAAAAAAGATATTACTTACTTATCTCAGAAATAGTAAAATATGCAGTGAATTTTAAATATATATATATATATATATATATATCATTCTATCTTCCACCAGCCAAATATATGACGCTATGTCGTACACCAGCCATCTCTGTTGTGTTATCCATCTCAAAGACCGAGATAATTAGCGGATTCTGTTTTCGTAGGATAATAAATAAAATTATAGTACCAGTCCCCCACAAACCAAAAACATTACATTCTAATTTACTTCCATCGGATTGATGTTTTAATTATTTATTAAAATATGACTTTTGTGCATAATAATTGAGGCATACGCCAGAAACAATTATCTTAGAAATATTATTTGCATATATAAACCGTGGGTTTGAATCTTTATTTTTAGTTTTAGCATCCTAGAAATATATAAAACAAACATATCATTATGTGACCCAGCTAGTGGATGTCCATAACCATATATTGTCCAACCACCTTCCTATCCACCATCAATCAATGGAGAGGATGGATCCATAACCAAAGCATCTACTCATGACTGATGAGTCATGCCTATACAAAGGAAAACTTGTAGAAGCACACAACATAAACAACAGCTCTCTTTCATATCCCTCTTTTTATTCTATCTCTTATAATTCATGTGATATGTGTTGTATGGAAAAAAAAATAAGTGCTACATTTTTTTCTCTATTTTATTTTCTATTCGGCTCCGTGATCCATTATTGGGATAATAATAATTTGGGTATGCCTACTATGACATGCATGTCACGGTGACATGCACTTTTCGGTCGACCTATTGCTGAAGGCGGTAGACCGAATCGACTAATTTGGGCAGCACGAGAAAGCATTGCGGTAGACCTCAACGACCACCTGGTCGACCGCACTTAGTTTAAGTTGTTATTTTTGGTCGACCAGAATAAAACCTGGGTCGGCCATTTCGTTGGCGTCAGAAACAACATGGTCGACCACCTAAGGTATATAGGTCGACCACTTGATGGCAGTCATTAACAAAATGGTCGACCGGATAAGGAAAGAGGTCGACCAGATAGAAGATAAGTGTTCTATCAAAGTGCCCAATTATTTGACGTAAAATCAAGGGTCGGCCTGTTAGGTGCACAAGGGTCGGCCTATGAGATATTTGGGTCGACCTTTCATTTTGTTGGGCCACCAAAGCGGTCGACCGTATTATGTAAGAGGTCGACCGCGTCTCGGAACCCCACATACGTGAATTAGTCCATTCGGTCGACCGCATGTTGGATTAGGTCGACCAAAAAGTCCATGTCACGGTGACATGCATGTCACTGTAGCAAAATCCTAATAATTTATAACATGTTATCAACTTAACACTTCTCCCTACTCTAGAGCCAATCGAACGTAATCAAATCTCCTATAAAAATCTCATTGATCATAGCCAACTCTAAAAGTAGAAAATTTAACGATTAGCAAACCACTCGCTTAAAATCCTGCTAGTCAAATTTTTTTTTTTTATTACCATCCAGTAGGAGTATCACAATTTTCTGATAAAAGGCTAAAAATAAATTGCATATGTTGTTTATATTGCCACCTCATAATTTATGCAATCCAACTCATTTTAATTTTATTGCACAACATCAATGCAATCTACTTGCAATTGCAATTGATTTTTAATAAAATAATAAAAACAGAATCACTGAAATAATAAAAAATAATAATAAAAAGATTATGTGACTTGCAACCCATGATCTCATTAGATGCAAGTTTGCAAAAATAAAATTGACATGGCAATTGTATAATGAAATTGAAAATAAGTGTACGTCTCAATGCAATATAGAGAATGATATTTCAATACGGATGCCGTTAGTAACCTTACATTGTTTCATTTCATTTGTGTTTTAAATGGCGAGACCACATTTTATATGCATATATATATGTATGGAATATGGATTGATTTTCAAATATTGATATACATGTGATGATCATTGGCGTACTTATAGAGTATATCATACTTCAAGTAATCTGGTCGTTGGATGGACTTCGTTGTACTTGACAAATCAGGATTGTCCGTTATTTTTTTATTAGATTGCTATTTGGGTTTCGGTTTAGAGAATCAGGGTTCAGTGTTTATCTATTAGACGTTAAGCTATAATATCATACTCCAAACTCGATTTATATTCATGATCTAGATAAAGATATTTCAAAAAAGGAGTACGGGACATATATATGTTATATCAACCCATGTTACCTAGAATTTCGGAAACCATTTTTATATATATATTTGAAAGTATGTCCATAATATTTATGGTATTCTCAAATTTATCCCGGGAATACCTAGTAATAACTAGCATGCATTATTATATATAAACGTGAAGTGAGGTTGTTGTTGCCAAAATAACTACATTTTAATACCCCAAATTTAATTTAATTATAATTTAGTCATTATAATGTATATTTTACATTTTGATATCCCAAATTTAATTTTAAAGTAAAATCATTGAACAATTATGTTTTAGTATCTAAAATTTATGAGATTTTCGTACCTACAATTTTTAAAATTTACATATTGGTCCAATGTTTACATTTCACTTGAATCCATAAATCAAATCCACCAATTCATGAATCCAATCCACCGTGACATAAAATTATAAATTTAGTTTGTACCATACAAGATATTGTATCACTCAACTGTAGGAGAAGATTCCACCATTTTGGTTTTTGATGAGATTTTTACTTCAAAAAAACATGTATGATATCCATTTGAAATAATAATTATCATTTTTAAAAGAGCATTCTATTTGGTGATTTGACAACATATTTAGTAAAATATAATACGAGTACATTAAGACATTGATCTGTACGAAGTTTTTGTATGACATTTTAATAGAACAATGTTTAAAAAAATCAACAGTAATAAAAATCATAACACTTTCTGTATTTCTTTCTTTGCCTTCTTCGTCTAACCCTAATTAGTTTTTGAACCATGAACTTTTTTAGCTCAATGTCGAGTCCAATTAAAAATAAAGATATAGGACTATTACTTATTAGAAAGTCATCATTGTCCACTATGAGATTTGAAGGCGTGAAATTTTTAGCGAGTTCCCGTTTGTATTCATTTTGCTGCTCTATAGAGTTTTTCTTTTTCACCCGGGCTAGATTTTCAACAATTATATGTTTGACTAGGTACCTACACATATCAAATAAATAGTTTCCATTTTTCTATAAAAAAAAGTAAATAATAATCATCTTAAATACATCACAATAAAAGGAATTAAGCCTCAACTATGCAAATTATAGTTCGGTACCTAAACTTAATAGATCTTAGATTTATAGCCTAAATTTATCTTTTTAGCATACAAGTCCTCAAAATCAAAATATTGATGGAACAATACATTTTAGTACCTAATTGTATTTACTACATTTTGGTACCTAAAATTTTAAAGTTCTAGAAATAGTTCTAATTTTTGTATGCCTCCCAAAACAGTGACAAAGTTGCACACGGGTTCCTCCCTTTCATTATCCTCAATGTCAGTGAGGAGATGGTCTTCAAGCACAATGCCAGTGTCAATCCATGCATGGCTCCAGAAATTGGTGGTTTTCCCATCTCTCATGTTTGAGACAGCAATAGAGTCCATAATTGGCATAGCTCGAAGGATGCCTTTCCACAGCGGGAAGTGGTTGCTGGTTTTCATGGATGTGATGGCTCCATCTTTATGGTTGAAGTACATTCCTTGAAAAACCTGCACCCACAGAGACTTCTCTTTGTTCGGTATCTGCCAAGAGAGCTTAATGAGGAAAGCCAAATTGAGGCTTCTAGCAGTCCTTAAGCCCAGTCCTCCTTGATCTTTGGGTTTACAAATCGTATCCCATGAGACCAAGTGAACTTTCTTTTTCCCATCTTGAGAACCCCAAACAAAACCTCTGATCTTTTTGTCAATTTTATCACAACCTGTCAAAGGAAGAACAGAGGTTTGCATGGCATAAACTGGGATTGCATTCAGAACAGCAGTTGCAAGGGTGACTCTGCCCGCAAGGGAGAGTGTTCTAGCCTTCCAAGATGTGAGTTTCATGTCAATATTTTCCAAAATGTACTTATAGGTGCACCTTTTAACTCTACCGTGTAGGACTGGGACACCTAAGTATTTGCCTAGGTCGTGAGTGCTTTGTATCCCAAGTCTGTTACAGATGCATCAATTGTTTTAACATTCTTCGAGAAAAATACTGGAGATTTATCTTTGCTAATGAGCTCCCCTGAAGCATTACAGAACCTCTCAATACAATCCATAACCACATCTGTTTGTCTAGTGTTAGCCTCAGCAAAAATAACAAGGTCATCAGCAAAGAACAAGTAAGACAAATCAGGTACATCTTTTGAGAGTCTAACTGGTTTCCATTTTCTTTCCCTAACTTCTCTAGATATGCAATGTCCTAATCGTCCAATGCATAAAGTAAAAAGATAGGGTGATAGACTGATAGTGGGCATCCCTCTCTAAGCCCTCTGCTTGGTTTGAAGGCTTCAGTTTCTCCCCGTTCCATAGGACTTGGAGTTCAGTGGTTATCATGCAGGCCATGATCATCTTGACTCCTTTTTCTGGGATTCTAGCAGCAACAGTGATTTCTTCAAGGAATCTCCAGTCAAGTTTGTCATGCGCATTTGCCAAGTCGATCTTGAGGATCATGTCACATTTCTTTCCTTTCTTCCTAGCCATTGAGTGGGTGCTCGAGGAGAAGCATGCGATTACTTGGAGAATGCAAAAAGTTGCACGTTCGTGCATGCGTAGATTTGGCGGCTAAAGACAATGAAAAAGAAGAGATGAGGTGGAAATTAATAATAATGTTTTATTCTTTTTATTGACATATCATTAACTTGATGTTCAAAATAGAATTGTTGATTGCTACAAAGTATTTTATAATGAAATTGGGTGAAGGGTGACCAGTAGT